TCTATAACGGTATGCTGCTATACTAGTTACCCAGAGACTCCAATACCCCTTAATTAAGGAATATACCTTAAATCATACGAGGGATCCTACTATAATTTAAAGTATATTCCTTAATTAAGGGGTATTGGAGTGTCTGGGTGTCTGGGCAGTAGAGGTGGCAACAGCCTGCTGTGGCATGGCCCGAGGCGGAGGCTACCCTCCGGACGGTCATGCCTTGCAGTCGCAAGCCCTATATGGGAGTTTCCGAAAATTAGGGGTACCTTATTTTGGGGTCCTTATAATAAGGATCCTATTATTTGGGGTACTATATTAGGGTCCCCTATTTTCGGAAAACCCCATTTATGGCCAAACGCAAGATGCTGTCACTGTCGTGGAGGTGCCGGGCACTGAGTCCAGATGGAACGTGGTCGGAAGTCACGTGGCCCAGGTGCTGATTGGGGCAAGCTCTGATGGGAATGACAACATCAAAAGCATCAACCTTGGCCGCTCCAGGAAAATGCAACCATTGCACCCTCCGCAACAGCTGTGTCAATGCTACATCACGGCGCACGGCCTATTCAAGAATCTTCCCCAGACGAGGCATCGGATCCAGACAATCAGCGGTGAGCTTGAACAAATGAGTAATGTGCGGCTGACACAGTACCTCCAAGAAGAGGCTTTCATCGAAGTGCTTGATGGGACCAAGGCATTGGGCAAAGGGACCGCGCAAGCGGAGAGATGCGTGACTGCCCATGCCGGCTGTTGGCTTGGTTGCCAATGGCCAAGCAGCGTTGCCATTTCGGGGCTACGGTGCTATTCCGACACCCTGCGTCCCCCATCTCAGCATCACTAAGCCATTGCCACTCAACCTCGAATCCTGAAACCCTGCACCGCTAAACTCTGAATGCCTTTACTCAGAACGTCCTGCAATGCAATGAACCAATGTTCTATCGATCCTTCAGTCTCTCCTCCGTACTTAGAGAGCGGTTCATAGATTCATCATGCAACGCCAGAGTGGGAATGCCAAGACAACTCGATGGCAAGCCAGCACGCACCATACATGTAAGAAACAGGAAATGTGCGACGCATCTCTTGGCCACTGTTTAGCTTTGTTTTTTTTGGGGCTATGTTTCTTGTGTACATGTTTAGCTTTTGTTTTTTGGGCTATGTTTCTTGTGAACAGGTGTTGAAAACTGCTCACTTTGGAAGGCAGTAGGGTTGTAACATTGCTGACATGCACCAGGAGCAAGAAGCCTGGGATATGGCTTGGGGTTTAAGGCTTGAGAGTTCGGGCTCTGTGGTCTAACTGCCAAAACCCTAAACCCTAAACACTAAACCTTGAAAAGCAAACAC